GTCGAGTAATAGCCGTATGACAGAAATCGATAATTTGTTGCTCGTGGCTCGAATTCGAAGTGACCACTTTGTGCTTTCCGGAGGGTCTGATAAGAAAATATCAGCAAAATAAATTTTGGCAATTGGTCTCACTCGTAAAGTATAAACAATGCTCTTTTGAAGTTTTTCTGCCGCGTAAGTTTCCATCGTGAATTAAGACTAGAAGGGAAGGGCAGCAGGAAAATGTATATTTTTTCGTCCTTCCTCTGTTCCTGACTAATCTTCTAATATGTGCTAAGAATAGCTAACACAGATCACAACATGCTACTCATCCCTTGCACGCCAAAATAAGCAAACTTAAAATTAAACCTAAATGGATTTTACATTAACAGCAATTTTTGCCATATTTTAAGGAGATTAGCGATTTTGAATACAAATCCGTCCAACTGAAATGACATTTTCTAGGTTCGTAATAGTCCTCTGCTGTTTTTTCATTGGGATTTGTAGGGATAGATCAATAAGCTTTGTCAATGCATCATCGATCACTTAAATGCATGTTATAAAATAAAGGTGACCGTTTGGTTGCCTAGCGACAAACTTTGGTTCATTTCCAAATGCTCATGGCGAAGCAACTTTAATGCGTAGTTGTTGCTGTTGCTGGGTTTTTCTTTTTTAAACCTCCACGTTATCTTAAAATGAAGTTTATAGTACTTATTAGGTTTAAGAATTTATTGCTCAAATCACACCTTATCCAGAACGGAATTAGCACATGTTTAAAGGTTCAAGTGGTTTTTCACAAATCATTACCCCGTTAGCTATCACGTTTGGTTTACTTCTATCTGTTATTTACTTTGAGAGTTTTTCGCGTCATTTGTATGAAATATCACGTCCAAGGTTTGCGACTGTTTTGAAAAGACTTCAACGACTTGTATCATCTCATAGAACTCGTCAAACGAAGTTTGAACACGTCATACTACGATATTTTTGCGTTTGACGAGTCGTGCGTTTCATTACGTGGTGATTCAATCTACAATTTCATTTTTGGCATAACTGGGTTTTAAATAATTGAAAGTTTAAAATATCTCGGAAGCCTTACAGCATAATTGGAATGAATACCGTAAAACCCGCGTGTAAGAACCTAGTGGTTTAAGAACCTGCTGGCAGAAATTTGCCATTTTAATATCCAAAATATATATAACAACCTGTTTAGCCAAGCAAGAACAAGCAGGTTCCTATATGTGGACTACAGTTAAATTATGACTTTGGGAGTGGGAATTTATATTACAAGAAAATACACAATACAGTAAATAAATAACTGTATATTCATGGACCAAACCCAAGTTTATTTACTTTTTCTGGAAATCAATAACTATATCTCCTTCATATAATTTAAGAAGAACCTATGTAACCTAAAATTGCCAATAAGTACCCCAAAATACAAGAACCTATTTTGCAAGACTTCAAAATTAGGTTCTTACACGCGGGCCTTCACTGTTCTACAAATTGTCCGAGGCTTTCCAAGGTTCTTAAGATTATGAACAAAAAATATTCCTAAAAATATTGAAGGACCGTAGCCAGGGTTGAGCATAATAAAATGAGAAGTGACATTGTAAATGGGACTTTTAAGGATTATTATTTATCACTGAAGATTCCAAAATATAATCCTTACAGAAGTCATATTTTCACGAATTTTGAGTTCTCTGTTAGAATTTTCAGTTGAGAATGATAATTACGTTTTTAGCATTTTATTTGCCATTTGCCAAGTCTGAGATTGAGGTGCCATTAGGGAAGGGGGGGGGGGGTACTGAGTATCCCACATTCCGTTAATTTTTAGCCTTAATATCCCCTACATGTCCCGTTAATTCCAATTGCAAAAATTAACGATTTTCCTACTCGATATCCCATTTTATTTGCTCCAAATACTCCACATCCCATTAATTTTCCCCCAAAATATCCCGCATCCCGTCAATTTTTTACCTAAATATCCCAAAACTCCCTAATATGGCCTCTAGATTTACTGTTCATTCTTTCAGTCTTTTGAAAATAACACCAAAAATGGCTTTCTTAAAGCATGAATTGCAATTTTTCAGATTATTTCGTGCAAGATGAGATATTTTTGTTACTGATATCTGCTTTGGTATTTCCACGAACCATAAGGACAATATTATTTTCAAAAAGCAAAGCCATTTTAAGATCACAAGTAAACACCATTAATAGTCAGTTCAAATGTTTAATTGTCGTTGTCAAAAGTATTTTCTAAAAATAGAAAAGGCAGAAGGAATAAGAAATTTAGTAAAATGAATTTCATGCATGTCTTCACAGAAAACACTTAAATTATAACAAAACGATTACAACAAGCCACGCTTTATCGAGAACCTTGGAACACCTCCAAGAGTAACAACAACTGAGAGCTCATAATTGTTTTCGACTTGAATAACAAGGTGTGAAGATAGAGAATATTTGACACCGTTTACAGTCATAACACTTAAACACAAGATTCCGTCGACTGCCTTTGCGTGCAGGTCTACATTTGCTTTATTTATATGTGACTTACATTCTACTTACGTTCTATTTTTGATAAGAAATGAATTTGGGAAAATAGAATTCGGTTAATACGGCCAGTATTTTTTGTCCCGGAGAAACGCCCACACTTTCTTATATGAAAACCCCGTTAATCCGGCCACCCCGTTAAAACGTTAACGGCCAACGGCCACATTCTGAAATTCCAACCTGTATAATCCTCTATAGTTTTACCCCGTTTGTACGGCCACTCAAACCACTTATATTCATCTTTCCATTGTCAATATTGTATGTCCTGATTGAAGTTTTAACTTTTTAAAAAAATTATACCTGCATTTTGAATGCTCGTTCAGTAAAGAACAGCTGTTTCGAAGAGCAATTGCGATGTCTGTCAAGACGTCACTCCATTTAGACCAGTAATGAAATTTGACCCTACCTCGTTAACACGGTCAAATTTTCATGACCCGTTGGTGACTGTATTAAATGGTTAATGTTTAAAACTTGTAACGGCCACTTTTGAAGATTTATGTTGCCTAGCATGCGAAACGTTAAGTTAATTTAATGTTTATCTTTGCTGTTTGTGTTGTGTCTTTAATCAAGCTACGATAGCAAGAGAGTTTATATAAACACGACTTTCTAGATTCTTGTCTTATTATGCATCAGGCTAACAACTTGTTCAGGTCAAACAACAAATGTACAGAAACTACGGTGAGTTTGATTTGAGTACCTTTCTAGAGAAGCAACAAGGAGCAACACCTCGCACGAGGAGTACAGTAAGAGCAAGATGATAACGAGAGTGACGACAATTATGAGGACAACGACGACGACGAAGACGATGACGATGAGGATGATGATGATGATGACGACACCAAGTGAAGGAAAATAATGTTAATAATAATAATAATAAACGAATCTTTAGAGAGGATTAACCCATCAGTACTATAAAGTAGTGTTATCAAAGGGGTCCTGTAAGATTTAAAAATTTAAAAATTTAAAAAAGGTAAAAAGTTAAAAAGGCAAAACTACGTACATTGGAAAACATATAA